GGCGTGGATTTTTTACTTACTTACTTAGCTGGCTTGTGACAGAACTTTCGTTCCATAAGCCGAGCTTAGAAAAGTTTTACAGGCGCGTCGGTCTTTTGCACAGTTTTTCCAATTGGAAAGACCATTTTCGGCAATGTTGTCTTCGACTTGATCTTGCCATCGTTTTCGTGGCCTTCCACTTCTGCGTGAACTATCAGCTGGTTCGCTTTTATATGCCTTCTGGGCTCGGGCATCTTCATTCATTCTCACAACATGACCTAGCCAACGTAGTCGCTGCAGCTCAATACGTCTAACAATGTCGATGTCCGAGAATAGCTGGTACAACTCATGGTTCATTCGACGGCAATATTCACCGTCAACTCAGATCGGCCCATAGATCTTTTGGAGAATTTTTCTCTCAAACACTCCAAGAGCTGCATCATCTGCTTGCGTAATTACCCATGCTTCAGATCCATATAACAGCACGGATAGTATCAGCGTCTTGTAGAGTGCGAGTTTGGAGGTGGCCTTGCTTTTGAGTTGTTTGCTCAGACCATAGTAGCATCGGTTGGCCATCACTATCCTTCTCCGAAATTCAAAACTGATGTCATTCGTTTTGTTTATGGCGGTACCAAGGTATATAAAATCTTTAACTACCTCGAAGCTGTAGTTCTCAAGTTCCACAGTTGGTCCGAGTCTACTGGACGTCTTATGCATTGACACCATCAGCATGGTCTTCCCCCTATTTACTGTCAGACCCATTTTGGCAGAATCCTTCTCAATTTGTTGAAAGGTGGCTGTTACCGCTCTCAGTGTTAGACCCATTATGTCGATGTCATCGGCGTAGGCGAGTAACATGTGTTGTTTGGTGTACAGAGTGTCATTTCTGTTCAATTTTGCCTCTCGTATGACCTTTTCCAGCAGGATGTTAAAAAGGTCACACGACAAACTATCACCTTGTCTGAATCCTCTGCTGATCTTGTGTCCGTTAAAGTTATCCTGTATAGCCAAATTAATTTTGCAGGAATGCCAAACGCAGACATGGATTTATACACCTCTGAACGGATAGGGCTGTCGAATGTGGCTTTATAGTCGACGAATAGGTGGAATGTGCCGATGTGTCCTTACCAGCATCTGACCACCAGTCTTGAATAGTTCGGCTTGTAACCCATCGGCACCTGCTGCTTTATTATTCTTCAGCCGATTGATTGATATTCTGACTTCATCTTGGCTAGGTGGTATACCGTCATCTATTATTGGTTTTGGGGTATCGTCTTCACCTCTAATATTTGATACCAGAAGTTTTTCAAAATGCTCCTTCCAGATCCTCAGCACACTGTCTGTGTCTGTCACCAGGTTTCTTTCTTTATCTCTACAGGCGGATGTGCCTGCACCAAAGCCTTCGGTTTGGTGTTTTACCCGTTGATAGAGTTTTCGGACTTCATTCTAACTCCTGCAAATCTCGATTTGCTCACGCTCACGTTTTTCATGCTCTTTCTTTTTTTCTGAAAATACGTTTCTTCTCTCTTCTCACGATAGTTCTCCATCGCATTACGTCTTGCTACTGTCCGCAGGGTTGTCCTATACGCTGCGTTTTTCATATCAGTAGCATTACGACACTCCTGATCGTACCACGGATTTCTTGATGGTGGTCTTTGGTACGCAAGTGTTGCTTTTGCTGCAGTTTGTAAGGAGTGGGCAATTCTCTGCCATTGTGCTTCTATATTATTATCGGGAAAAGGGGCGCTTTCGTCAAGCAGTTGGGTAAGTTGAGCGGAGTAGGCTTCTGTTATCTGTTGTGTTTGCAGATTTTCGACGTCAAATTTCCGTGTTACATTTGATCGCACCTTTGCTGCTACATTAAGACGGGTGCGTACCTTGGCTGCCACAAGGTAATGGTTCGAATCGATATTCGCTCCCCGGATCGATCGGACGTTTAAAACACTGGATGAATGCCTTCCAGCTATCACAATATGATCGATTTGATTTCTCGTGGTTCGATCGGGAGAAATCCAAGTGGCCTTGTGTATATCGAGATGCTTGAATCTGGTGCTGCTAACTACCATGTTTTTTGCTGCCGCGAAGCCAATCAACCTTATACCCTTGTCTGATATTTCTTCATGGAGGCAGAATTTTCCGACGGTGGGGTAAAATATATTTTCCCTTCAAATTTTTGTATAAAAAACTCCTAGCAAAATTTTAATGTCATGGCCAGGCAAACGATCATATGCTGTTTCTAGGCGCTTGTAAAATATGTCTTTGGTCTGTTCATCTTTATCTTCGGTCGGAGCATGGGCGCAAGTGAGACTGATGTAGAAGAACTTCACTTTTATACGGATTATAGTAATTCGCTCTTCTACTGGATTGAATCTGGAGACGAGGTATTTTATTCTCCTGTTCAAGGCGTGGATTTTTCAAAGAATATTTTTTCAAAGTTCTACCCTAGGCGTGGAGTTTTCAAAGAATATTTTTTCAAAGTTCTACCCTAGGCGTGGAGTTTTCAAGGCATATTTTTTCAAGGGGTACCAAAGGCCCTTGAATATTTTTTCAAGGGCCAATATAGGGCGTGGATTTTTAACGAACATTTTTTAAAGGGGTATCAAAGGCGTGGATTTTTAAAGAAATTTTTTTCAGGGTCTGTAAAAGGCGTAGATATTTTTCAGGGTCTGTAAAAGCCGTAGATTTTTTTCAGGGTCAGATTAAGGCATTTAAACAGTGTCTATATTACATTGGAATATATGGACCAACAGCTCACATTTAGAAATATCTATGGCTATGCGGTATAATGTGTGTTTAGTTCTGAGAATTTAATATTGCAGGTTCACTTCGGATGTGTGTGTGTTCGAAATCTGTTCCATGCACATATTTAGTAGCAACTAATTAATTATTGATTAAATTCAATTCAGTGGAGATTTTCGTATTAATTTCTCTTGTGGTTCCGCAACACAACCTTGTGCTGGGTCGTGTCCTGCTGTCAGTTAGTGAAATGAATATTAATTAGGATATTAAATAACAGTTTCAGCATGACAACAAACAGAAAATCAAAACAGGCATTACTGGAAAATCCACGCCTTGTGTAGGCCTTGAAAAATGATTCTTTAATAAATCCACGCCTTGTGTAGGCCTTGAAAAATGATTCTTTAATAAATCCACGCCTTGTGTAGGCCTTGAAAAATGATTCTTTAATAAATCCACGCCTTGTGTAGGCCTTGAAAAATGATTCTTTAATAAATCCACGCCTTGTGTAGGCCTTGAAAAATGATTCTTTAATAAATCCACGCCTTGTGTAGGCCTTGAAAAATGATTCTTTAATAAATCCACGCCTTGTGTAGGCCTTGAAAAATGATTCTTTAATAAATCCACGCCTTGTGTAGGCCTTGAAAAATGATTCTTTAATAAATCCACGCCTTGTGTAGGCCTTGAAAAATGATTCTTTAATAAATCCACGCCTTGTGTAGGCCTTGAAAAATGATTCTTTAATAAATCCACGCCTTGTGTAGGCCTTGAAAAATGATTCTTTAATAAATCCACGCCTTGTGTAGGCCTTGAAAAATGATTCTTTAATAAATCCACGCCTTGTGTAGGCCTTGAAAAATGATTCTTTAATAAATCCACGCCTTGTGTAGGCCTTGAAAAATGATTCTTTAATAAATCCACGCCTAGTGTAGGCCTTGAAAAATGATTCTTTAATAAATCCACGCCTTGTGTAGGCCTTGAAAAATGATTCTTTAATAAATCCACGCCTAGTGTAGGCCTTGAAAAATGATTCTTTAATAAATCCACGCCTTGTGTAGGCCTTGAAAAATGATTCTTTAATAAATCCACGCCTAGTGTAGGCCTTGAAAAATGATTCTTTAATAAATCCACGCCTTGTGTAGGCCTTGAAAAATGATTCTTTAATAAATCCACGCCTAGTGTAGGCCTTGAAAAATGATTCTTTAATAAATCCACGCCTTGTGTAGGCCTTGAAAAATGATTCTTTAATAAATCCACGCCTAGTGTAGGCCTTGAAAAATGATTCTTTAATAAATCCACGCCTTGTGTAGGCCTTGAAAAATGATTCTTTAATAAATCCACGCCTAGTGTAGGCCTTGAAAAATGATTCTTTAATAAATCCACGCCTTGTGTAGGCCTTGAAAAATGATTCTTTAATAAATCCACGCCTAGTGTAGGCCTTGAAAAATGATTCTTTAATAAATCCACGCCTTGTGTAGGCCTTGAAAAATGATTCTTTAATAAATCCACGCCTAGTGTAGGCCTTGAAAAATGATTCTTTAATAAATCCACGCCTTGTGTAGGCCTTGAAAAATGATTCTTTAATAAATCCACGCCTAGTGTAGGCCTTGAAAAATGATTCTTTAATAAATCCACGCCTTGTGTAGGCCTTGAAAAATGATTCTTTAATAAATCCACGCCTAGTGTAGGCCTTGAAAAATGATTCTTTAATAAATCCACGCCTTGTGTAGGCCTTGAAAAATGATTCTTTAATAAATCCACGCCTAGTGTAGGCCTTGAAAAATGATTCTTTAATAAATCCACGCCTTGTGTAGGCCTTGAAAAATGATTCTTTAATAAATCCACGCCTAGTGTAGGCCTTGAAAAATGATTCTTTAATAAATCCACGCCTTGTGTAGGCCTTGAAAAACGATTCTTTAATAAATCCACGCCATGTGTAGGCCTTGAAAAATTATTCTTTAATAAATCCACGCCTTGTGGGTCTTCGGGAAAATTATTCTTTAATAAATCCACGCCTTGTGGGTCTTCGGGAAAATTATTCTTTAATAAATCCACGCCTTGTGTAGGCATTGAAAAAATATTTTTTAATAAATCCACCCTCCCACCTAAGAAAATGTTCCGATAAACAGTTTGTCCTTTAATTTCCCTACTCAAATTTCAATTCCTTAACAATTGTGATTATTTTTAAAAATTATTTTTTTCATATTTTTCCTAACAAATATTTACGTATGTAGTATGTATGTGTGTATTTTATTTTTCTCTTCTTCTCCTTATTTTTGTTTCAGATTACCTGAAACACAAAGATTGTTTTGCCTACATCTACGATGACTGGCTCCATTGTCACAAACAATCGCAGAATATTATGTCGGAGGTGGCACATTCTGTCGATACCAATGTGACGGAAAAATTCATGGAAATTTGTTGGTAAGTATGCGACACAACAACTACAACAACAGTAGGAAACAAAGGATATATAGAAAAACGTGTAATAACGACAGATATTTTTTATGACGACTTCTTAAAGAAGATGTCTGTTTTTTTCTTTAACCTTGATAAGGCGCTAAGGGGAGGGAATAATGGGTCTGAAGGGACGTCTATACACTTGACTTGTTTGTTATATTCGATGTCTCGTGTTTTTTTGTTTTCTTATTTTTTTATTACCTTTTCTTGCCTTCTGTTTTGGCCATAAATTTCAGAAGAAATTGTATTTTTATTGACAAGTTCGGTAATAAATTTCACGAAGTTGTTGAAAATTATTAACAAGTGGTTTTGCTGTTTATTGACAAGATGTTGCAGACAATTTATTTTTATGACGGGGATAGAAGATCTCAAAGGGAAGATTTCAAATAAATAGCTTTGTGTCTGATAAGAGGATATTATTTTATAGGCCGGATATTCCATGTATTATAAGGGTAAAATCTAATGGAGTATTTATTGACGTGGATTTTTAAAGACTAATTTTTCAAGGGCCAACCAACAAGGCGTGGATTTTTTAAAGACTAATTTTTTAAGGGCCATCCATAGAAGGCGTGTATTTTTCAAAGACTAAGTTTTCAAGGGCCTTCCATAGAAGGCGTGGTTTTTCAAGACTAAGTTTTCAAGGCCCATCCATAGAAGGCGCGGATTTTTTAAAGACTAAGTTTTCAAGGGCCTTCCATAGAAGGCGCGGTTTTTTCAAGACTAAGTTTTCAAGCCCCATCCATAGAAGGCGCGGATTTTTTAAAGACTAATTTTTCAAGGGCCATACTAGGTGTGGATTTTTTAAAGACTAATTTTTCAAGGGCCATACTAGGCGTGGATTTTTTAAAGACTAATTTTTCATAGGCCTACCCAAGGCGTGGATTTTTTAAAGACTAATTTTTCATAGGTCTACCCAAGGCGTGGATTTTTTAAAGACTAATTTTTCATAGGCCTACCCAAGGCGTGGATTTTTTAAAGACTAATTTTTCATAGGCCTACCCAAGGTGTGGATTTTTTAAAGACTAATTTTTCAAGGGCCATCCAACAAGGCGTGGATTTTTTAAAGACTAATTTTTCAAGGGCCATCCAACAAGGCGTGGATTTTTTAAAGACTAATTTTTCAAGGGCCATCCAACAAGGCGTGGATTTTTTAAAGACTAATTTTTCAAGGGCCATCCAACAAGGCGTGGATTTTTTAAAGACTAATTTTTCAAGGGCCATCCAACAAGGCGTGGTTTGGACTAAAGAATATTTTTTCAAGGGCCAAGGCGTGGTTTGGACTAAAGAATATTTTTGCAAGGGCCAAGACGTGGTTTGGACTAAAGAATATTTTTTCAAGGGCCAGAAGAGGCGTAGATTCTTTAAAGATTACTTTTCAAGGCCTAGAAGAGGCGCAGATTCTTTAAAGAATATTTTTTCTAGGCCTAGAAGAGGCGTAGATTCTTTAAGGAATATTTTTTCTAGGCTTAGAAGAGGCGTAGATTCTTTAAAAAATATTTTTTCTAGGCCTAGAAGAGGCGTAGATTATTTAAAAAAAATTTTTTCTAGGCCTAGAAGAGGCGTAGATTCTTTAAGGAATATTTTTTCTAGGCTTAGAAGAGGCGTAGATTCTTTAATTAATATTTTTTCTAGGCCTAGAAGAGGCGTAGATTCTTTAAAGAATACTTTTTCAAGGCCTAGAAGAGGCGTAGATTATTCAAGGAATTTTTTTTCTAGGCTTAGAAGAGGCGTAGATTCTTTAAGGAATATTTTTTCTAGGCTTAGAAGAGGCGTAGATTCTTTAATTAATAATTTTTCTAGGCTTAGAAGAGGCGTAGATTCTTTAAAAAATATTTATTCAAGGCCTAGAAGAGGCGTAGATTATTTAAAAAATATTTTTTCAAGGCCTAGAAGAGGCGTAGATTCTTTAAAAAATATTTTTTCAAGGCCTATAAGAGGCGTAGATTCTTTAAAAAATGTTTTTTCAAGGCCTATAAGAGGCGTAGATTCTTTAAAAAATATTTTTTCTAGGTCTATAAAGATTTCGATTCTGATGGACCACCTCATGTGGAGAATTTAAAATATTCGGATCAATAGAACGTTTTATACCTTCCAAGATTATAGTTTTTCTTCAATTTTTTTTATTCAAATAAAATCTATATCATCCCTTCTTTCCCTCTTTCCAGTGCCCGCTACGCCTACGAGACGTGCGTCTACAACAGCGCCCGCTACAAATGCTACAAACATTCGGCCAATTATGCCCGGGAAATGGCCAAAATGTTAACAAATGAAACCCAATTTCAGAATTGTCGTCAATACGAAGAATCCATGTGTAACCATCAGCCGGCCACGATGGCGATTGGAGGCCACCTCACATATTTGAGTACCGTTGTTATGCTGCTGTGGTCGATGTTCATTAGACGTGCGCCCACACTTGCGAGGTTACACAATTGGTGGTCCATAGGCGGTGGTAGTTTCGACAAATGATTTTATCTGAGGATTCTGCTGCTCCCGTAAGCACAAACATCGTTGATTATTACATTTCAAGAATGGACAAATGTGGTGGGCGCAAACGAGCAAAGCAATGACAAAGTCGAAGAAGGAGAGACAGAAGCTGTACCACTCAAAGGTGCCATTGCAGCAAACCAAGAAAATCAATACAAATTAAATTAATGTCCAGCTAAATGTGTCAGATGGATGGTCGTCCATTCTTGTTGTAAATTGTACTAGTGGAAGTAAAGTGTCCTGTTGTCCTTTGGCTTTTATCGTTGATTGTTAAATGTCAGAAGATGCATTGGTCCATATATCTATTAGTTTTAAGAAATTTTTATTGCAAAAAAATACAAATTAATTATTAAGAAGAAGAAAAAATGTAACTGAGTATGTACCTTATATTATCATTGTTGGTAATTGTTAAGATGTTAGGAAGCCACCCTTTGGCACATACAGGGTGTCCCAAGCGTGTTTTAGTTTAAATTTATTATTTAGTTTATTATTTGTTCATAAAATCAAAATAATAAACATTGTTTAGTTTGACTGTATTGACAAATATTTTTTGATTTTTACTATATGGTATATTACAAAAATCGGATTTTTAGGGACTGTAAGGTAAGTGCCACCCACTTAGGCCATGATAGATACTAATCAACGGCTCTGATTGGCTTTAACATGGCGAAGTCCAGGCTTATCTTGGTCCCTCTTTCTTCTCAATTGTGGATACTTACCTACCCTCGGTGGCACCTGGGGAGCTATTTTCATCACCCGATGAAATAGTGAGCTAATATGTGTCGCGAGTTCACCCATAAGAACTATAAAAATATGGGTTGAGGCGTCGGGTTAGTTGCCCTACTATGAAAAAGCAAAGAAAAAGAAAACCAAACCCCCACCTAATCTTGACGACCACCGCAAACGTATAAAGGACCACGATCTGCGAATCTGCACTTGGAATGTGGCCACCTTGTACAGAACAGGCGCAGTGTTCGCTCTGGCGGGTGTACTCAAGAAGTACAAAGCCGGTATTATTGTCTTACAGGAAATGCGATGGAAAGGGACTGGCGTAAGTAAATCAGATGCTTACGCCCTGTATTATAGCTATCATGAAATGAGACATGAATTTGGCTGCGGTAGATGAGCGAATTGCTATAATCCCTATAAACGCGAAGTTCTTCTACATCAGTCTCATTTGCGCCCATGCTCCGACCGAAGATAAAGATGAACAGACCAAACAGACCATTTTTTACGAGCGCCTAGAAACTACATATGACCGCTGCCCTGGCCATGACATTAAAATTCTGCTAGGAGATTTTAGTGCAAAAATTGGAAGGGAAAATATTTTTGGTCCCACTGTCGGAAAATTCAGTCTCCACGAAGAAACATCCGATAACAGCATGAGGTTGATTGACTTCGCGGGAGCAAAAAACATGGTAGTTATCAGCGCCAGATTCAAGCATCTCGATATACACAAGGCCATCTGGGTTTCTCCTGATCAAGCAACGAGAAATCAAATTGATCATGATGTGATAGACAGAAGGCATTCACCCAGTGTTTTAGACGTCCGATCGATCCGGGGAGCAAATATCGATTCGGAACATTACCTTGTGGCAGCCAAGGTTAGCACTCGTCTTAATGTAGCAACAAAGGTGCGATCTAACACAACACGGAAACTCGATGTCGAAAAGCTGCAAACACAACAGGCAGCAAAGGCCTACTCCGCTCAACTTACCAACCTGCTTGACGAAAACACTTCTTGTCCCGATAATAGTATAGAAGCACAACGGCAAATAACTGTAAAAGCAACATTTAGGCACCAAGAAACCCGTGGAAAAAAACCATGAAAAACACATAGACACATTCCACCTATTCGTCGACTAAAAAGCCGCGTTCGACAGTCATATCCCTTCAGAGGTGTTTAAAGCAATGTCTGCGTTTGGCATTCCTGCAAAATTAATTCGGCTATGTAGGATAACGTTAACTGGTACAAGATCAGCAGTTAAAGGAGGAGGATTCAGACAAGGTGATAGTTTGGTGTGTGACTTTTTTAACATCCTGCTGGAAAAGGTCATACGAGAGGCAAATGTGAATAGAAATGGCACTCTGTACACCAAACAACATATGTTACTCGCCTACGATGACACCGATGACATCGACATAATGGGTCGAACTTTGAGAGCGGTAAAAGCCACCTTTGAACAAATTGGGAAGGAGTCAGCCAATGTGGGTCTGGCAGTAAATGGTGGGAAAACCAAGCTGATGGTATCAACGCGCAAGACCTTTAGTAGACTCGGACCAACTGTAGAACTTGAGAACTACAGCATCGAGGTAGTGAAAGATTTTATATACCTTGGTACCGCCATAAACAAAACGAATGACATCAGCTTTGAAATTAGGATTTTGAACTGCAATCAGCTAAAGATACCCACTCTTCTCCGAATTCCCTATGGACGCATAGTCATTTTGATGCATGGAAGTCTTAGAAACTATATGAGCACAAAAAATAATAAAATTTCCGTCTCTTCGGTTAAAAAATAAGCGAAAATGGAGCTTAGTATAAACTTTTAGTCCGAAGATTTTCTATCCGAGTACCAAATCAAAGCACTTCAGATGCTAAATGAGGCAAAGAAAACACTTTAAATGGTTTTGGACGAGCGCTTTTTTAAACAACTAAAAACGTTGTTAAATTCGGCAGGGCCGAACTTTTCATACTCTACACCATGTGGGGCATATTGAAAATTTCTAAAATCTATAAAGACCTTTATATGGATGGCAATATACATTTCTGCCAGAAGAACTATCAAACTACAGACTCTCAGACTACGAAATTGGGGTTGGACCTTGAAAATACCGAAAGATATAGCAAAAATGTGTACAGATATTGAAAAATTTTATTAGAGAGATTTGACGTCCAATGAGAACTCAAAATATAGAAAAATTATGGTACCAGTAATGCGCGCAAAGCCAAAGCTTGGATTAATATATTTTTAAGTGATTATTTATATACTCTTATACTCTTTCGAGTCGAGCTTAATGATCTAAGTTTTGCAATGAAAAGGAAAGCCAGGAGATGAACCTACGCACCCACCATTATACGACGCGTTCCGCCGTTGGTCGTACGTTGATAACTTGTATTTATTCCGCCCTGATGCGAAACTTTCATATGCGAGTTAAATTCAAAGTTCGACATTTGTCTTCATTCTAGGAACAGTCCTTGTCAAAGCAGATTTATGTTGTAGCGATGGATAATTAATCCACAACACCTACAATTGCTTCCATGGTATACACATGTTTTTGCGCAACCGTCTTGGAAGTGTGTTAATGGCTCAGAACGTTAAGTGGTCTGGTAACATTTGAGTTGTTCAGACGACCGAAGTTCGACCCCTAGCCGTGCTCAGTTGAATTAATTTTTGTTATTTTTGAAAAGAGATTTTTCTACCCTATTTCAAAATTGCAGTCACGTGCCTTAACTCCTCAAAATAGAGAAATTTGACGTGTATCGTTATTTGGGGAATATACCAAAACAAGGACCGATCTCATTTTTAATATCAAATATCCGAGAAGTTGTAGAAATGTATGGACAACGTTTCGTAGCTCTAGCTTAAATATTGAGAGCTCTATTGTGACTTCAATTCCATATATAAGGTATGGAGTCCCCAGTGAATATTTCAAGGTATTTCAACTGATTTTTTTTTCTTGAGAAGAAAAAGAGGATAATCTCCATAATTTTCCCAATTTTTATTGCCACCATAACCTCGTGGGAAGATTCCATTCCTCGGGGCTGATTGAGTATTTTTTTTATTTTTCAACAATGAAAATACTGCAACATTACGAAATCGCAATGCACGCATCGTCCTTATCGTCCTTTTTCCATCTTCATCTCGTTTTCTCCCTTCCTTTGTGTAATTAAATTTTATCAAAAGATAAAAAAAAATTAATTGAATTGCTTCGTTTGCCATTTGAGAACGTTGACTGGCAAAAGACGAGCAAAGACTCAGTGGATTGCAGAACAGGCAGGCAGACCGACGGACGGACCAAATAGGGACACTTAAATAACTTCAATTAAATAAAAAACAAAACTGATTACGTTTGTTGTTATTCTCATTATGATACAACAACAACAAAAAGAAAAACAAATGACTTAATTAACAGCAATGAATAAATGTTTTATTTTCTCTGATGATGATGACGGTGGACAAATGTTTGGAAGGTGTAGTGAGAGGGGAGGGAGGGGCAGAGAGGGAAACTGCACTTGGAGTATTTTTTTTAATATACATACGCATTGGTATACATGAATATATATAATGCCAAATCAATGGAATTTAAAAATGTTTCAAGGATTGTTTTTTCTCATAATAGTTCTCTCCTCTCTCGTGGACCTCTCCACCCTATTCACTCAATTATATTTTGATTTCAATTTAATTCATTTAATTAATAATATTATTAAATATAATTTTTCCTCATTCTATTATTTTTGTCCCCTTTGCATTTCTTTCCCTGAGTGTATGTATGCAGGTATATCACTTCGATTCTCTCGTGTGCACAACACAATTGAATTATTCACTTTATTATTCATGTCCTGTCACCGCCTAGTGCATAAATATCCACTCACTCGATCTCTCTCGGTCGGCTCCTTTGCTATTGCAAATAATTATTCATATAATTATGGAAACATTTTTCAAGGCCATAGCAATAAGTGCAGGAATATGATGTATATGTTATGATTGCATGACCAATTGTACATTATTCAGGCTGCATGTGCCGAAGATGGAAAACTTATATAAAATAACAAAAACAAAGCAATGATTTCATTTAATGGACAAATATGGATGCAATGATAACTTGCAAATGTGGCACTGAGATTAAGAACGATGTGGATAATTAATTGGATATTTTAACAAAGGCCTACCAAAAAATATTCTTTAATAAATCCACGCCTCTTGTAGGCCCTTCTCAAAATATTCTTTAATAAATCCACGCCTCTTGTAGGCCCTTCT